ACTTAAAATGGAAAGTCATATAAAAAAATATTCCCACTTGCAAATCCCCAAATTACCAATCTAGTCTTTCATATAAATTCAAAAACATCTAACACTACCCACTTCTGTCTCATTTTATCAATAACCTGGAAATGATATACTAGACAACAGAAAATGCCAATCATCTAAAGCATTGTAACATTGTTTTGAGTTCTAGTTTCCATTTTAATTTTAGCTCTTCCTTATCGTGGTTTGATTTCTTTTTATCTTAGCCTATTTTTTCCCTCAGGCTTTGGGGAATATATCCATATTGACTTGCACGACTGCATTTGGTCTGGCTATGGTACTAATAACCCTGTGACTTAGGAAGCTATTTGTCAACCTATGGTTTTGTTTTCTGACTTCTAAAAAGAGAAATCAGAACCATCTTAAGGAAGTGGAAGAGGCACTGGCCAGGAGGTTAGAGACCTGGGTTCTGGGCTCAGCTCTACCACCGACTTCGGTCACACTTTACACGACCTTGGGCAAATCGTTTCATTCCTCTAAGCTTCCCTTTCCTCAGCTGTAATGTGAGGGGGCTGGAGGAAATGATCTCTAACATCACTTCCAACTCTTGAGCTCTGAAAATATTCTAATTCCTAAATAACCTTATGAAACAAAACCACACAGCAACATGTAAGCACAATCCTATAGTGCAATCCACCCTTCTTATAGGGTCTATGTGTGCGTCTTCCGATAAGGCATCCTTTCTGGTTTTTGTTAACATGGCATCTGTCACCTTCCTTCCAAGTGGATCATAAACATGGGTATTCAATCTAATCTGGAGGAAGGACAGTCAGTACATGAGGAGGGAGGTTCAGATTTGGAACATTGCCTTTCTTGTGTAGTATGTGTGTGTGTGTGTGTGTGTGTGTGTGTGTGTGTGTGCGTGCGCACGCACGCGCGATCAATGATCGCTCCCTCCCCTTTTGGAGTGACAAAATTTCAGTGGAAAATGACTTCAGAGCCCATCCAGTCCAATTCATACTTGGCCAAGAGATAGAAGCCTTCCCTACATGCAGCATTACTGATAGTGGTCATTCAGTCTTTGCTTGAAGATGCTTGGTTGGGGGAACCCACAACTTTTTAAAATAGCTTCCTCCATTTCAGACTAATTCTAATTGTTAGGAAGCCTTTCCTTACTTTGAACTGAAATTGCCTTCCATCTCACAGCTTCTAATTCAACCCATTGGGCCCAACTAGAACAATTCTAATACCTGTGCCATATGCCAGGCCTTCAGATAATTAAACATACCTCCTATGGCTATAAATCAGTGAGTTTTTATTGCGTACTTACTGTGTTGAGTATTGGAGATACAAAAAAAAAAAAAAACTTTAATCCTAGCTCTTGAAAGGAAAAAAGGAAGGGAAAACATGAACTTATATAAGTATATACATAATATATACAGAGTGAATACAGGGTAGTTTGGGAAAGGAGTGCACTAGTAATTTGGGAAAAGCAGAAAATGCTTCAGAAAACTAGGTGAGGAGGGAAGGAATTTTTAGGTATATGGGTACAACCAGTACAAAGGCACAGAGATGGGAAATGAAACCTTATCTGTATAGAGCAGGTAATCGACCAATATGGCTGGATTAGGGAGTGCATATCCTCACTCTCTTCATCAGGTTAAACATCTCCACTTCCTTCATTTGATCCCCACATAAAATGATCTTGATGTATTTTACCATCCTGGGTGTTATATACCTTATTGATCACCACCAGTTCAGTTTCTGGGGTGTCCCTGGAAGGTTTGGTTCTAACAAGGAAAATAATGCTCCACACATATCCAGTACTCTACCTTACACGACCCTTCCCTTGTGCACAGTTCTGCAAATGATTCCCCAGGCTCAGTCCCTTAATATCAAAGCCACCATGGGTATCATAGTGCTGAACCTTATGAGTTTTCCATATTTGCCCTCACATCTGGGGTAAGGGAAACAGCTGCTCATGGAAAGAATAACTGTAGATTCTTACTACTCCAGTTAGATGTTTTGCAACTGCAAACTGTTTATGGAAAACAATGATAAAAAGAACCCACTGATTCTGCTTGTCTCACAAAAGTAGTGAAGCAAGGCCCCCAAACCATTGCTGGTATCTGATAGAACAAGAGCCTTCCTGGCCACTTTCCGAAAAGACAATTGTCTGATGGTGTAATACAAAGATAAAATTGACTCAGTAATAAATATTGCCTAAATCGACCCCCTGCTTCCCATCCTGCCTACCACCCCCTCCCCATAAAATCTTGTTTATCTGTTCCTTTTTTCCTCTGTGGGACTGTATCATTTGGTCCTGGAAGGAGCTAATTAAGCAATGCTGAAGGGTGGAAAGGTCCATGGTCACTTGTACATTTTTGGTCCCCTACCCTATCCATTGTAGAAAGCAAGGGAGATCCATGCATAGGGTATGGGAATTAGAAGATGGAGTCTGATATCACAAGGCAAATAGACTCAAAAGTGAATTATTCCCACACTCCTAGAAAGTAGTATACTAGTGTTCCATGGCAAAAATGACAAATGCTTTGGAAAGTAAATGTTTCATCTCCAGTCCCATCACAATGGAGATTTCAACACAGGCATTAGGAAGAATTATGTTGAACTTCAAAACCCTGACCAAAGACCTAGCTACTATCTCTAGGGTTTAGGTATATACACTCCACCCCACCATCTACTTTGAACTATTGCTCCTCATTATCAACATTTGCCAAGTTGTGGTTTAAGTGGCTACTATGAGTTATGAAGTGTTCTAACCATTCTGCAAAGTGATTTGGAACTATATCTTTAAAGTTATTAAACTATGTATATACTTTGGCCCAGTGATATCAGAACTAACTAGGCTTATACCCCAAAGACATCAAAGAAGGAGGAAAAGGAGCCATATGCACAAGAAATTCATGTTAGCTCTTTTTGTTGTAAAAAACTGGGAACTAAAGGGGTGTCAATCAATAAGGAATGGCTAAACAAAATGTTGTATATAAATATGAGAGAATACTATTGTGCTATAAGAAATAACAAAAGGGACAGTTTCAGAGAAACCTGAGAAGACTTGTATGAATGAATAGAGAGTGAAGTAAGCAGAACCAGGAGAATAGTTCATGCAATAAAAACAACATTGTAAAACAACACAACTTTGAAAGACTAAAACTCTAATCAACAAAATGCCTAACCATGATTGCAGATGTCTGATGATAAAGTAGGCTACCCTCCTCCTGACCAAAAGGCAATGGACTCAAGGCACAGAATTAGATATATACTTTTGGAAATGGCCGATGTGAGAATTTGCTTTGTTTGATCATTCATATTTATTACAAAGGTTTAATTTTAGTTTAAGTTTTGTTTTGTAGAGTAGGGGGAAAGGAAAGGAGAGGAGAGTTAGTGATCAGGGTTGCCAGAAAGAAAAAAAGAAAAAAGAAGAGGACCAATAAAGCCTTTTTTCTTAAAAATACACAGAAGAACAAACAGAATACACATGTAAACAGGACAGCTTTGAAAGTTATGTTTGACTTATCGTATGCTTTAAAGGAAAAAGCAAACTCTCATGTAAGAGATTCAGTTTCATCTTTTTCCCCTTTTTCTCTTCTACTTTGTATATAAAAATGCTCATTTTATTTGGTATCTGTCTCAAATTCTCTCTCCATGTCCTTGATTTTCTGATAATGTCTTTTGTACTACTTCTAGCATGCCAAGCGCTGGTGACGTTCTAATTGTGTCCTCTTATGCCCACCATGCATTTTTATTAACTTGGCTCAGGACACACTGATAAACGTAACCCAGATTTTCCTATTAACACTCTACTTATTGCTAATATTCAGCAGATTATTTGACAAAGTTATCCTTCTGTCTATATTTGTCCTGGGTTCTTTAATGATTTTGATGTCTGCATGTCTCCATCTAGTCTTTGTAGAATTGTTGTGGGTTTTTTTTTATATATAAACTATTTGTTAATAGACAAGACCAGTGAAGTTGTTTACTTCTTCTTGAACAAACCCACAGTGTGACCCCTGTGGCCTGTGGTCTTGGTGTGCTGGCCTCTGACCCAGAGATGCCAGAAGTATCAAAGCCCACAACGTGCCCAAATCTTCTTCAGTCACTTCAGATCTTCACACAGCTTATTGTCCAGACCGTTGGCCAGAACCTGGCTATATTTTCCACCCTTTACACCCTTCTGTCTGTTAAGAACCAGTCTGGAATCTTGTACTGCCGGGCATTCTGCATGATGGTGATCACACGCTCCACCTCGTCTTCAGTGAGCTCACCAGCCCTCTTGGTGAGGTCAATGTCTGCTTTCCTCAATACTACATGAGCATATCTTCGACCCTCACCCTTGATGGCTGTGATGGCAAAAGCTATTTTCTGACGTCCATCAATGTTAGTGTTGGGCACTCTCAAAATGTGCTTCTCAGGGATTACAAGAGACATGGCTGCAATGGCAGCATGAGAGCCTTCTCTAGAAGAGCTCTTTGTAGAGTTTTTAAGGCCACATTTTGTAATAGAGGGAAGCATTATTTAAAAATAAATTAATAAACATAGAACCTTATATTCTTTATACCTCTCAGTTATATGACTGTACAGATATGTGGTCTATACAGAAATATGTTGGTAAACTAACAACTGCCTCTCTACAAAAAAAAGTATGTATGATATACTTTTAAGTTCAATCTGAATTATTAACCTTTTTCCATGACTTTCCTAAGTCTAGACAATTAACAAAACAATAAATCAAGCCCTGATTTGTAATATTTGCCAATTTCTGAGGTGTAAATGTTCACACTGAAAATTTAACAACTGTATCTTGAGAGCCAGGTATAAGCTCACTTTGTACACCACTGAGTCTATGGTAAAAATTGCCTGCGAAAGTCTTCCTGTTTTCTTCTCATGTTTTCATCAAGGGTATTCTCAAGACAGGTATAGACCATTCTCAAAAAAATTTTAAGCAAAGCACATAATTTGGTAGCTGCTTTACAGGTCACTACTTTGTTTTGCAGTAAAAGTGTTTCCTGTGATGTTTTCCTCCCTTTTGGACTCTTCTCATCTCTGAGAAGAAGCCTTGAAGATGCCTCACCTCTGCAATTACATTTCATGGAAGCAATGAATATGACCTTGGACAGACTTCAGGAGACAGTGGAGGATAGAAGGGCTTTGCATACTATAGTCCACCGGCTCACAAAGAGTCAGGCACGGCTGAATGAATGAACAACAACTTGGAGATTGGTTTCTTTAAAATGAGTCACTTACGATACAGATTTCTTATATAAGTATTTGGTCAGATTCCAATATCATCTTCTTAAATGCAAGTGCCATTTCCTTACATGTTGTTCAGTTGTTTCTGATTCTTTCTTGGCAGATACTATAGTGTTTTGCCGTTTCCCATTCTAGCTCATTTTACAGAAGAGGAAACTGAGGCAAACTAAGTTAAGTGACTTGCCCAGGGTCACACAGCCAATAAGTGTCTAACGCCAGATTGAACTCAGGAAGATGGGTGTTTCTGACTCTAGGCCTGGCACTCTACCCACTACGCCATCTAGCTGCCCCATTTCCTTACATAGCAAATCAGTTTAAATACTACTTGTGTGACCCTGGGTAAGTCATTTAACCCTGTTTGCCTTGGTTTCCTCATCTGTAAAATGATCCAAAGAAGGAAATGGCAAACCACTCCAGTATCTTTGACAAGAAAACCCCAAATGGGGCCACGAAGGGTCAGACATGACTGAAACAACTGAACAACAACAAAAATTTAAATGTGATGCTGTTGCCTATAAGAATAGATCACTAATAAAAGACTGCTAGAGCTGTCCCACTTTATGTCTGTTTATTGTCTTCCATCGGTTTTATCTACCAATATTCTTGGTATAATCTGGGTAGCTAGATCTCATGTAAGACCTCTACAGGACTTCTAGAGGCTTGTTTTTTCTTCAGCTGCTTTTCACTCTTTTCTGCCTGCTTGGAGGAACTAAACCGCTCAGCTCTGTATGCCTGGGAGCAGCCGTCCTCATCCTCACTTCTGCCATTTTCTATTCTTGCGACTGTGGCCATTCCTCCACTATCCACATTTGATCTCCAGAGATTGTACCTGTGCAGAGGAAGAAGAATGGAGTTATTTGGCTCAGAACTCCCTTGGGCTACACATCCTCATCTTCACCCCAATCATTTTCTAAGCTATCACTATACATCCTTTCTTCAATCTTTTTTTTTTTGCAATTGGGGTTAAGTGACTTGCCCAGGGTCACACAGCTAGTAAGTGTCAAATGTTTGGTCTGAGTTCACAATTGAACTCAGGTCCTCCTGACTTCAGGGCCAGTGCTGTATCTACTGCGCCACCTTTCTTTGATTCTTCAGCTTTCTGCCTCCTGCTCTGAGAACAGTAATGAATTCAACACCATCATTGCCCCTGAAAAAGGTATGCCAATGGACTGCCTTGTTCTACTCAGCATCTCTGTGACTTTCCAGATTGTACCTTCCTGTCTGGGCCACCACTCCTCCTTATATGTGCTATTTGTCCCATTCAAGAGAGAAAATGTAGCATAGTGGCTGGAGAACCAATCTCAAAGCCTCAAAGTCTTTGGTCTAAGTCCCATCTCCAACCCATCCTGGCTGTGTGACCCTAAGCAAGTTACTAAACATCATAATACTCTAGGTAATCCCCTAAGACTATAAATGGCAGAGAAGGTGCTGCCCTACCAGAGAGGAATCCCCTAATCAGTGCTATATATTAATGCTTGAGAGGAAGTATTACATGGAGCAGAGGTGTCAAATATGAAGCCAGCTGGCCCCCTGGAGCCTACAACACTCGCCAGGGCTGCTGGAGCCAGATTAAAATATAATGGGAAAATATTTTTCAAAGTAAATGAAAATGCAATAAAACATGGATAATATTACATTTTAAAGTTAAGCGAATGTGTGGCTTGCGGGCTCCTTGTGTATGAATTAGTGGCCCCCATTTCCATCTGAGTTTGACAGTACTGGTGTCCTGGATAGAAAGTTAGCCTCAGAGTCAGGAAAACATAAGTCCTGCCTCTGACACATACTGGCTGTTTGACCCAGGCAAAGTAATTTATCTCCCATTATTCCAGGTAACTCTCTAAAAGCATAAATTGCAGCAAACTGCTTATCTATATTAATTGACAGAGAGAGAGAGAGAGAAAGAGAGAGAGAGAGAGAGAGCTAGGTGCCACAATGGAGTCAGAAAGACCTGAGTTCAAATTTGGCCTCAGACAATTATTAGCTGTGTGACCTTGGGTAAGTCGCTTAACCTTGTTTGTCTCAGTTCCTCATCTGTAAAATGAACTGGAGAAGGAAATGGCAAACTGCTCCAGTATCTTTGCCAAGAAAACCCAAAATGGGGTCATGAAGAGTATGACAGGACTGAAAACAATTGAATAACAACAGCACACACACACACACAAAATTACAGATTATATGTTATATAATTATAGGTATATTTATTATATATGTGTTATATGTATATAATTATATGTTATAATTATTTAAAAATGTGTTATCCCCTCTATAAGGTAAGTAACACCATTAGGCTTGATTTACATATGAAGAAATGAAGATTCAGAGACTTTCCCTGGCTCACATTGATGAGAATTAGTGGAGCCATGACTTGAATCAAGGTCTTCTGATTACAAATATGTATGCATGTATGTATATATATGTATATATTTCTGCTTAGCCTCAAATAGTATCACAAGGAGCTCAGTACGGAAATTTTAGAGAGGTACATTTACGCTTGATTTCAGGAAAAATTTTCCCCACCACGAGAACTAACAAGAAGTTGCCTTGGGTGGTAGTGGATTCCCCCTCATTCATGTAGATTCTGGGTGACCATCCTATGAACAGGTTGTAGAAGACATTCTTTTTTTTAGTATTGGTTCAATTTGCAGGTTACTGAGGTACTTTCTGGCTCTGAAATTCTGTGATCCTGTGAAACCCAAAGTAAATAGTACAGACAATAGTTAGATTAGAATTCAGAGAAGGGAGAGAAAACAATCTCTGTTTATATATATATATATATATAGTATATGTATATGTATATATATGTATACACACACACACATGCATATACACTTATTAAGCAGAAATACAGGATTGAAAATATGGTGAGGATGATTCACAAAGTGAATAATCAAAATTGACTGATAAGACTTATCAGAATGAATGAAGAGCTTGGTAGGAGGCAGCTTGAAGGAGTGGAAATTCTGCTGGGTTTGGAGTCAGGAAGACCTAAATTCAAATCCAGTCTCAGACACTTACTAGCTGTGTGACCTTGGGCAAGTCATCTCTGTTTGTCTCGGTTTCCTCATCTGTAAAATGATGATAATAATAGCACCACCTTCTACAGTTGTTATGTGGATCAAATGAGATGATAACTGTAAAGTGCTTGGCACAGTGCCTGGCACATTTGTTGTTGTTCATTCCTTTTAGTCATGTCCAACTCTTCATGACCCTATTTGGGGCTTTCATGGCAGATATACTAGAGCAATTTTCAATTTCCTTCTCCAGCTTATTTTACAGATGGGGAAACTGAGGCAAACAGGATTAAGTGACTTGCCCAGAGTCACACAACTAGTAAGTGTTTGAGGCCAGATTTGCACTCAGGAAGATGAGTCTGCCCAGCACTCTGTCCACTGCTCCACTAGCTGCCCCTCTGGCACATATAGTAAGCACTATATAAATGTTAGCTATTATTAGCTATTATTAAATCCTAGCTCTAACACTTCTAACCTGTGTGACCTTGGACAATAGTCTTAAGCCTCTCTGGGCCTGAGTTTCCTCATCTGCAAAATGAAGGGGTTGTTGTAACAACTAGCTGACTTCTAAGGTCCCTTCCAATGATTTATGAACTTTGGACTGTGAAGAGACCTTACAGATCATCCTCACATTTTACAGATGGGGAAATATCCGTAGGAAAGAGACTTGTCCAAAATCCCATTGGTAGCCTGTATTAGAGGTGGATCTAGAGTCTAGGTCTCCTGACTTCCTATTTCTGGTTTTGTCTTCTCCCCCGTGCAGAAAGTGACTTTTATTTCACAATATTCAGGGAAATTAAACTGGTAATGTCTTTAGTCAAATAAAACTCCCTGGGCTCCAAATGGCTCCAGCTGGCACCAGATCCAAAGGGTTTCCCTCTTCTTCCTGTTATGCAGTTGACACTATTCTCATCTACATTATGTATGGCTTTCTTCCTTGAATTCACTGTATGTAAAGCACAGTGTTGGGCCCCTCAGGGGTACTGGTAAAGAAATAGAAATGGTTCATCACTCAATCAACCACTGACTCCCAACTCTGGATAAAGCTCTCTGCTGGGACCTGTGAGGGAAGTTAGAAGAAGGAATCCAAATACATCTAAAATGTTCATCTAATTGGGGAAATGGGATATACACATAAGCAAAGAGTAACAGGTTAATTTCTATGGGACAAATGCCAAATAAGTGGTATGGATAACAAACACAGAATTGTGGCATTTTGGAAGAATAGGGGGCCTCCGAATTAAAGAGCTTATCTAAGGAAAGGTCAGAATAAAATATTCATTAAAAAGAGGCAAAACACTTATCTAGAAACATATAAACAAGGGGAAATTAACATAGTGTAAGCTGTGTATAAGTGAGAGGACTCCAAAGATAATGTTAAGGGTACCTACTCCAGAACTATTATAATCTGCCAGTTGAGAAAGCTGCTGGCTCAGAGGTTACAACAACATGTTGAGGTTTAGAGTTGGGAGAGCTGGTTCAGGTGTGAACAAATGGACCTAGAATCAGGAATAACTGAGTTCAAATCCAGCTTTAGGCGTTCAATAGCTATGTGATTCTGGGAAGTCACTTAATATCTATCTGCCTTGATTTTCTCAATTATTAAATGAGGATCCTAATGGTCCCCACTTTCCAGGTTTATACTGTGGGGATCAAATGAGATATTTGCAAAGTGTTTCACAGATCTTAAAGCACTAAAGAAATACTAGCTATTATTATTAAATAACAACTTACATTTATGTAATGCTTTCCTCAGGGATTACAAGTATAATTATTCCCACTTTTTGAGATGAGATAACTAAAGTTAAAAGAAGCTAAGTCACCTGTCCAGGGCCTTATGGTTAGAAATGTCAGAGAGATTGAACCCAGCCTTCTTTTTAAATTTGTTTTATTTTTAATTTATGCAATAAAACAAGCATTTCCATAACATGGTACAATAAAAAAAAGATAATTTGATATGAAACTGTAAATCTACCATGTACAACTTGCTATTCCTTTCAAATATACAACAAAATTACCATATAAATTTCTTTTTCTCTTCCCCCACCAAAGATGGCTACCTTTAGACACAAATAGATATATATGTGTAGAATCATTCTACACTATTTCTATCTATCAGTTCTTTCTCTGGATGCAGATAGCGTCTTTCTTCATACCAGA